AATGTGCGCGCCTTACACTCTATACACTACTTTTTCCCCCCCTTTTTTTTATAGGGGGGGTTTTTTTTTTTTTTTTTTTTTCTTTTTTTTTTTTTTCTTTTTTAGAGACAGGGTTTCTCTGTAGTTTTGAAGCCTGTCCTGGAGTCTGTTTGGAACTCGCTTTGTACACCAGGCTGGCCTCGATCTCACAGAGATTTGCCTGCCTCTGCCACCCAAATGCTGGAATTAGGGCAGGAGGTATCTTAAAGTGCCTTGGGTATCATGAACGAGATATCTTTGGGTTTTGATGCCAAGGGATAAGCAAATCCCGAGGGAATATGCTTATATAATTACCCTAGAGCAGAGCAAAAGACTCCTGTTTCAAATTGGTTCATAAACTAGATTATCATATATGTGTATATGTATACATATGAAGTTGTGTATGTATTTGAGGATTGTACATAATTCACAGCAACTAATCCAGGGGAAAAAAAGTAAACTGAAAAATTAATGCATAAATTAAGTCAGCTTTAATTAGCTGAAGCCACACACAGACGCAAGTATAAAATAGGCAAAAATGCAACATTTCTTTGATCGGATCGGCGCCGGCTTTTCTTTTTTTTTTAATGCATAATTGCAGTTCCAGTAATAAGGAGGAAAGAAGACCTGGGTTTGTCCGGGGAGGAAGGGGTTAACGGTTTTCTTTACCCTAGGGTCTTCGCAGGCTCCCCAGATCCGAGTTGGCAAGTTCCACTCCTCCCCCTTTCTGGGAAGTCCGGGTGCCGTCCCCCCCCACTCCCCCCACCCCACCCCCTCAGCCACCCACACTGCGTATTCTCTCGTCTAGCGCCTTGATTTTCCCCCAGCCCCTAAGCCGGAGTCTGGTGCAAACCGGCTCCACAGGGGCAAAGAGGATTTGCTGCCTCTTGTGAAAACGGGGTGCTGAGTAGGAAGGAACTCTTGAGTGAGCCGGGGTGGGACGGGGTGCAGACTGCAGAGACGGTGGAACCCACCCACCACTGCTGCTCCAGCTCTGGAACCCGCAGGGAGACCTACGGGGTTAGGTTGTCACTCACCACCCCCTGCCTGGTGGAAGTCTGAGCCAGCCGGAGGTGCTGGAGTGTGTGTGTGCGTGTGCCTGTGTGTGTGTGTGTGTGTGTGTGTGTGTGCGTGTGTGTGCCTGTGTGTGTGTGCGTGTGTGTGTGTGCGTGCGTGCGCGCGCGCGTGCCTCTGTGCGTGTGTCCCTGTGTGTGTGTGTGCAGGCGCGCTCCCCTGTGTGTGTGTGCGCGCGCGCGCCTCTGTGCGTGTGTGCCTGTGTGTTGTGGTGTGTGTGTGTGCCGTTGTGGGGTGTGTGTGTCTGTGCTTGTGTGTGTATGTGTGTCTCTGTGTGTGTGCGCGCTCGCCTGTGTGTGTGTGTGTGTGCGCGCGCGCGCACCCATGTGTGTGCGTGTGTGTGTGTGTGTGTGCCTGTGTGTGTTGTGTGTGTGTGTATGCTTGTGCTTTGTAACAGCAAATTGGGAGATCCATTCTGAAAAGAATGTACCCAGTCGACATAGCTGTCCATCCAAAATGCGTATAATGCCCTCCGCAGGGGATGCAATGGGTGTTCATTCCTAAGTGGCTCTCCAAGTATACGTGGCAGTGCGTTGCTGAGCAGTTTTAATAATTCCAGGCACCGTTTTCGTCTGCAGCCCCCGTCTGTCACTGACACCCCGCACACTGCACGCGGGCTCACAGACGGGCCCATTCTTTCGCCCTCACCTTTCTAAAATCTGCTTCCCCCAGCCTTAGAGAGACGCCTGGCCGCCCGGGGACGTGCGTGACGCGGCCCAGGGTACATGGCGGATTGTGCGGAGCTAGGCAGCTGTTCCACCTGCGCTGCCTGAGACACGCACGACAGGAACACAGTTCACCCAAGCGCTGCGCCCAAAGAACAGCATGGGAAGGGAAAGGACGTGAGCGCGGGCGAGCGGGCGAGCGAGAGAAAATGGTCGGGCGCGCAGTTAATTCATGCTGCGCTCGCACTGTTTACACCCCAGGAACTGGAGTACAGGGCTGCCGGGCAGAGGCTCCTCCTCTTTCCCTGGCTCCCCACGAGCGCCCCTCCCGGGTTCCCAAAGCAGGGGGGAGGGGGACGGAGGGGAGGGGGGAGGGGGACAGAGAGAGGGAGGGAGGGAGGGAGGGAGGGAGAGAGAGAGAGAGAG